AAATACATAATAAGGTTAAAAGGTGGTTTTTTGAAAAGACTAATAAAACTAACAACTCCTTAGGAAGATGAATGAACATAAAAAAAGAGACAGCACAAAAAGCCAACATTAGCAATTCAAAGAGGATTTATTAAAAATCTACAGTAATTAAGAAGAAAATCAGAGAATATTATGAATAACTTTATGCCAATACATTTTTAATTTGGATGACATGGAAAAAAATTTATGCAAAAGGATTATCTACCAGAAGGAATAGAAAAACTGAATAGTCCTAAAATGATTAAAAATAAAAGTAAATACAGAGTTGAGAGTAAAAGTTAACAGCGAAGGTATATGGATGGCAAATAAAGACATGAAAAATCCTCAGGATCTTTAGTCATTGGAGAAATGTAAATTAAAACCACAGTACTAGTATACATAAAGTTTTAAAGGAAGAAACAAAAAATAACAAATGCTGGCAAGGACGTGGGGCAACTAGGACTCTGGCTGGTGGGAATGCAGAATAGCACAGCCACTTCTGAAAACAGATTGGCTGTACCTTATAAGTTAAACATACCCTTACCATATAAACCAGCAATCCCACTCCTACCTATTGGCACACGAGTAATAAACATATACGTGCACTGTAAGGAAGAACCTGGCTCCAGTTTTTAGATGTTTGCTGCTAACAGCTTTTAAGCCTCACCCCTCCCTTCCCCTTCTGTCACACTCCTGGGCAAGCTGATAAGATGTCCCTTCCTCTGGTGGCAGTGGAAGGTTCAAAGCCCCTGCCCCTGCCTGGGAACCCTCACTCTGGCCCCCACTCCTCACCATCATGAAATCTCCAAGCCAGTCTCCTTTTAGGACATGTTTGGGCCTGCTTGGTAGCCATCCTGCTCCCCCTAGAAAGCTGCATTATGTGAGGAACAAGTCTTCTCGTCTCCTTTTGGTGGATGGGTGGCATCCTCATTCTCAACATCCAAACCAAACTTGGCAAATTTGTCCCTGCAGGGTGCCACAATATCCACATAAAGACTTGTGCATGAATGTTTATACGAAATTTACCGATAACAGCCAGAGGCTGGGAACAACCCAAATGTCCATCAGCCAGTGAGTGGATAAACAAAGTGTGCTGTATCTACACAGCAGAATCGTACTCAGCAGTAACAAGGAACAAGATCCTAACACATGCAAAGCATGGGCACATCTCAAAAGTTTCACGCTAAGTGAAAGAAGCCCATCCCAAAGGCCACATACTCTGAGATTCCACTCATAGGATGTCCTTGAAAAGGAAAAACTATATAAATAGAAATCAAATGAATGGTTTCCTGGGTCTGGGTCTAAGAGGGTATTGAACACAAAGGGCCATGAGAGAACTTTGAGGTTGATGGAAATGTTCTATATTTCATGGTGGTGGTAAATGACTATATGCATTTGTCAAAATCCATTGAACTAGGCTGGGCGCAGTGGCTCACGCCTGTAATCCTAGCACTCTGGGAGGCCGAGGCGGGCAGATTGCTCGAGGTCAGGAGTTTGAAACCAGCCTGAGCAAGAGTGAGACCCCGTCTCTACATAAAATACAAAAATTAATTGGCCAACTAATACATATAGAAAAAATTAGCCAGGCATGGTGGGCATGCCTGTAGTCTCAGTACTCTGGAGCCTGAGCAGTAGAATCGCTTGAGCCCAGGAGTTGAGGTGCTGTGAGCTAGGTTGATGCCACGGGCACTCACTCAGCTTGGCAACAAAGTGAGACTCTGTCTCAAAAAAAAATAAATAAATTACAAAAATAAGTAAATAAATAAAATTTAAAAAATCCATTGAACTATACACTTATAAAGGGTGGATTTTATCAAAAGGTATACCCCAATGAACCTGACTTCAAAAGAAAGTTTTGCCAAAATAAAACTCTAAGACCATGTGGCTTCACTGGTATGTTCTGCTAAATAATTAATGAAAAAGTAATTCCAAATCTTATACAACTTCCAGAGAAAAGAAATAAGTGGACATATTTCATATGTTCCACATATTTTATGAGGCTAGCATAAATTTATACTAAAACTTGACATTAAGAGAAAGGAAAATTATAGGCCAATGTCAATGATGAACATAGGTACAAAAATTCAAAAGAAAATGTCAGTAAAACAAATCCAATATTATATGTTAAAAAGATACTATATCATAGTCAAGACAAGTTAATCCTCAAAATGCAAGGCTGGTAAAAGATTAGAAAAAACAATCAGTGAAATTCACCGCATTGACAGTGTAAAGGATCATATGATCATCTCAAAAGATGCAGAAAAATAATTTACTAGACTCAATACTCATTTATGTTGACAAAAATCTTAGAAAACTAGGAATAAAGAACAACTACTAGTTTTAGAACTCCTTCTGTGAAAAAGCTATGGCAAACACAATCCTCACTGGTATAACATTTAAATGGTTCCCTTTGTAATTAGGATCAATATAATCCACCATTACTTCTGCTATTTAAAATTTTTACAGTAGCCTAAGCAATAGGTAAATAAAAATAAATAGAATTTTAGTGATTAAAAGGATGAAACAACACTCTATCCTTTTAGGAAATAAGATGATATATGCAGCAAATCCAAAATAATCTTTAAACTATTAGCATTGATAAGACATTTTAGCATATTTGCTGGATACAAAATGAACAAATTAAAATCTGCATTTCCACATACCAGCAATTTATAAAATTAAACAAAAGAGATATTAATCATAGTAGAATGAAAAGTTACAAGTACCTAGGAATAGATATAACAAAATGTGTGTACAATCTTTTTAGGTGAACTTATAAATCTTTAATTAGATCTATTAAAGATGTACTAAACAAATAATGAATGTCATGTTCCTGGATTGGAAGATTCAGTGGTAAAGATATCTCAGTATCTCAGGTAGATATATATATATATATTTTTTTTCTTTCTTTCTTTTTTTTGCATTCAATATGACTGAGTGAAAGATATATATTTTTAATGGCATTCCATTAAAGTTTCAACACATTGTTTTTTGTCCTGGAAGTTGACAAGCTGATTTTACAGTTTATAAATGTGAAGGGCTAAAAGTCAAAAAATGAAATTAAGGTATGATATTAACAGAAATTATTTTAAAGCAAATTAAGACTGTAGTATTGGTGGTAAGATTAAAAAAAGAAAGAGAGGTAAAAGAATAGAGACCACAAAAACAGACCCATGCATATATAGACATGATACAACAGAAAAGTGGTGCTGAAGAACAATAAGAGAACAGGACAATCTTTTAAATTAATAAATAGTACTGGGACAATTGGGTATCCATATGGGAAGAAAACTGAAATCCTTCCTCAAACCATATGCAAGTATCAATTCCATGACAGCAAAGTAAACTATAAAGCATTTAGAAGAGTGAGCATATAGAACAAACATTTTCTTGATTTTGTGGTATGTCAGGATGCTTAAACTAGTCACGAAAGAACTACCCATTAAGGAATTTAACCACACTAAAGTTTAAGATTGCTGCAATCTCACCATAAAACTTAAACAGATTAGGAGTTGCTTCTTATGAATGAATAAAGAAATTGGTTGCTTTCTTTTTTTTCTTTTCTTTTATTTTCTTTTCTTTTCTCTTTCTTTGTCTCTCTCTCTCTCCTCCCTCCCTCCCTCTCTCTCTCTTTCTCTTCTTTCTTGAAAGAGTCTTACTCTGTTGCCCCACCTAGAGTGGGTTGGCATCATCATAGCTGTAACCTCAAACTCCTGGGCTCAAGCGATCCTCCTGCCTAAGCCTCCTGAGTAGCTGGGACTACAGGCATGCACCACGACACCCAGCTAATTTTTCTATTTTTAGTAGAGATGGGGTCTTCTTTTCCTCAGGCTGGTCTCAAACTCCTGATCTCAAGCAGTCCTCCCACCTCAGCCTCCCAGATTGCTAGGATTACAGACATGAGCCACCTCACCTGGCCAAAAGTGGTTTATTGAGATGGAATCTATTCTTAGCAAAAATGCTGTGAACATTGTCGAAATGACAACATGTTATTTAGAATACTGCATAAACTACCTGATAAAGCAGTGACAGAGTTTGAGAGGACTGACTTCAATTTTGAAAGAAGTTCTACTATGGTTATAATGCTATCAAACAGCATTGCATGCCACAGAGAAGTCTTGAGAGGAAGGGTCAATGAATGAAGCAAACTTCATTGTTGTCTTATTTTAAGAAATGGCCACAGCCATTCCCAACCTTCAGCAACCACCACCCTCATCAGTCAGCACCATCCCATGGAGGCAAGATCCTCCACCAGCAAAAAGATTACAACTTGGTGAAGGCTCAGATGATAGTTAGCATTTTTTAGCAATAAAGTATTTTGAAGTTAAGGTATGTCCATTGTTGTTTTAGACATAATATTAATGCTAGTGCACACTTAATAGACTACAGTATTGTATAAATATACCTTTTATATGGGAAAACCAAAAGTTTTGTGTGATTCGCTTTGGTTGCCATATTTGCTTTGTTGCTGTGGTCTGGAACCAACCCCCAAATATCTCTGAGGTATACCGGTATAGCAGTCCCAAAGTCTTTGTGTAGTTTAAGCTTTACTAAGACCAAAACTATAAATGCTACACACTTACATAAATATCATTTTGTTTAACTATCTATAATTCTTTCATAATTAGAATTATGAATTTTGAATAATTATTTTATGTGTGTCAGTCCCTCTGATTAACAGTGGGACTGAAATAAAAAACTATTCAAAACTTACAAAACTAAATAAGCATAAAAGAAATTTAAGTGCTGCCCCTGCATGGATGTAAGACAAAAACATTGTGTGGGAAAGCTGGAGTTGAGGACAAAGGACATTCTGAGAGTAAAAACCCCTGGGATACAACGAAAATTCCAGGATCAACTTCAGATTTTCAAGGGCTATAAAATAGGTGGACCTCAAGCCAAAGTCTCCAATGGATAAAAGGAACCAGGGAATATCTGGTCCCGGGGGAGGAATAGAAAATTGACCAAGGTCTATATCTGACCGGATGAGAGGATGGAGTCAAAGGCGGGCTCTGGAAGGCCCAGGGGCTGGAGCGCTGAGCAGGGCTGGGGTGGGGGAGGGGCCGTGGTCCAGCCCCCTCCTCTCGCCGCCCCTCCCCCACCCCAGGAGCCCTCTGTGACGAGGCCACAGCTCTGTGATGCTGCCTGGGCCCTGGTCAAAAGGCCCAAAGGCAACGCCCAGGGCTCAGTTGCTTTAGGGCAACAGTGCGATTCAGAAGATGGAGAATTATCCGTTTCCTCTGAGTAGCGTTAGTGATTCATGGCTGAAGCTCAGCTCCTCCGCCTGGGTGACGGATCTCATCCTGGGCATCCTGTGTGGCCTGGGGCTCTTCCTGCTCCTGCTCCCCTGCCTCGGGAGCGGCCCGTCCTCGCCGCCCGCCCGGCAGAAAAGGAGCGTCAGGAAGGTAGGAGCCCCCTCAGCCCAGCCCCGACACAGTCATCCTCTCCTTCTTTCCATTGTCATTTCCACGTTTCCGAATCAGACGGAGACTCCCGGCTGGGACGCGGGCTCGTCCTCTAGGCGCGCGCGGGCGGGCGGTGTCTGCGGGAAGCTCTGGACCGCGCGGCGGGCGGCGCCACCTCGGGCCTCAGGGCCAGCGCGGCTCGCGACAGGAGAGGGGATCTCTGTGGGAGGACGAGGGTCTCTGAGGGAGGACGGAGATCTCTGTGGGAGGACGGAGAACTCTGTGGGAGGATGGGGATCTCTGTGGGAGGACGAGGGTCTCTGAGGGAGGACGGAGATCTCTGTGGGAGGAGGGATCTCTGTGGGAGGACGGAGGTCTCTGTGGGAGGACGATGATCTCTGTGGGAGGACGGAGATCTCTGTGGGAGGACGGGGATCTCTGAGGGAGGACGGAGATCTCTGTAGGAGGACGAGGATCTCTGTGGGAGGACGGAGATCTCTGTGGGAGGACTGAGATCTCTGTGGGATGGTGGAGATCTCTGTGGGAGGGTGGAGATCTCTGAGGGAGGATGGCAATCCCTGAGGGAGGACGGAGATCCCTGAGGGAGGATGGAGATCCCTGAGGGAGGATGGCGATCTCTGTGGGAGGATGGAGATCTCTGTGGGAGGACGGCCCAGCCCCTCAGTCTCCCCGTCTCTTGGCGTCAGGCGGACAGGAGGGAGCGGCCCCGGAGCAGGAAGAGGAGCGGCCCTCTGAAAGGTAAGGAGCTGCTGCTCCGCCCCGAACCCCAGGGGGACTTAGCCTCGTCGCTGTCCCTGAAGGGTCAGCCTCTGAGGAAGTCAGCTGCAGAGGCCTGTGGGCATCCCGGGAAGGAAATCAGAGCGGGATTTTCTCAGATCCCGCTGGGCGTGAAGCCAGGTGGGGGGGGGGCGGCTGCCCTAGGGGCCTGGAGCGGAGGTGGGGCCTCCAGGCCCGACTGTGGACGGCTGCTCAGCCTGGCAAAGCCTGGCTTCTCTTTGAGGGACCCTGCCTTCTGCCGCACAGGGGGTGTGAGGACCTGGGGGATGGACGTGGGAGCACTGTGTACAAGGTAAAGCACTGAGGACCACGCTTCTTGCTGCCATTCCCGGTGTCACGTGGGCTGGGACACTGAGGCATGGGCTGCAAGGTCCAACCCCCCCAGTCTGCCCTAGAGGGACACTCAGCCAAGCCTCTCCCTTCCCACCTAACTCAACTCCTGATTCCAGCTTATAGAGACTGCCGGAGGGAACTCGATGGGGCTTGGGACCTGACTTTGCTTCTGCAGAGGTGAGAACCCTCCCCTTCTCTCCCAGTCCTTCCGTCAGGGCCTGGGATGCGACCCCAGGGCCTAGGACTGACTTGGGAGGGGAAGATCAGGGAATCCGCTGGGATGTGACTGGAGCCCTGGGGCCAGGGAGAGGCAGAGATTTGTGATGTCATGGAGGAGGGGCTGCGGGCTGCAGGTGCCCACCCCTGCCTGGCCCCCAACCCCACCCACCCCTGCTATAGCCTGTGCCTCCTGTCTCCTGCAGCTGCCAGGTGAAGCTCCCTGACAAGGGGGGCTCTCATCAGCTCTCATGTCCAGACCCCCCGGGGGAGGAGTGCAACCCAGCACCTGCCAGCGCCCACCGGCCACGTGCGGAGCGTGTGCAAGATGCTTCGCCCACCACCTCGTCTCCACTGGCATCGCCAGCTCCCCTGGCCCAGAGCCCTCCGCCTCTGGCCTCCACGCTGTCTCCAGGTCCGACAGCCTCCCCAGTTTGTGCTGGATCATCACAGTCATCCCTGAGTGCCGCCCGGCCGCCAGAGCCTTTGCTGCCCCCAGAACGCCCCTCACCCCAGCCACAGGCGCTTTCCCCTCCCACACCGCGGTCTCCTGCTCCCGTGGCCTGCCCTCTGCCTCCTCCTGACTCCAGCCTGGCTCATGCTCAGTGTGACTCAATGGCGCCCCCACTGGGCACTGTCCCACAGAGCTATTCTCCACACTATAACAACTGTTGGTTGCCTCCTCCCGTCTCAAAGATATCGGACCTTAGTTGCACAAGTGACACCGTCTCAGCCCTCACCTGGTGGCAGGTGGCTGCCAGAACTGGCAGAGCCTGGAGCCTCTCCGCCTCAGCCGAGAGCAAATCCCAGCAGGGGCATCTTTCCAACCGCCCACCAGAGGCTTCCTCCTGGGGAGACGCCACGCACAGGCAGATGGAGGGTCGTGGCCCCTCTTTCATCCACACTGACGTCCAGGACCTGCTGGAGACGCTAATGGGTAAGAGGAAGGAGAACGAAAAGGAGGGGTCATCTCTGAAACAAGTGAGCCCAGACTACCCCCGGGGTTGCCTGGGGAATATGGTGAAGTCACCGAGCGGAGATCAGGACACAACCCCACAGCGCTTCTGCAACATGACAGACAAACCAGAGCAGCTGCCAGGTCCCCAGCAGCTCTCCCATCCCAAGGCCAAGGGGGACCATTTACAGCAGAAATGCACCCAGCTTTTCTGGGGCCTCCCCTCTCTGCACAGTGAGTCCCTGGTGGCTGCTGTCAGGGTCTCTGGTCCTCCGTTAAACTTTCCCTCTGTTTTATTCAATGGATTCCCTAACTCCTTTGGCGTACATCCACATCCACAACTCTTTCTGCCCCAGTCCTGGCCCCACCACAGGGCCCTGCCCCAGCTCCCTCTGGCTGGGTTCCAGCCCCAGATCTGTCTCCCACACTCTCTCTTGACCCCACATTTCTGTTCACCTCAGATACCTTTCTGTGGAGCATTTTGCCCAACAGTCCGTAGGGAGGCCCAATTTCCTCTCTCAACTGCTGTTCAACAACTAGAGTGTCACTTTCTGAAGAAGCAACAAGAAAGCAGGAGGGCCTTACCCACTATAGTGAAAAATTCTCAGGAAGTCTTTCACCAGCTCACTTCCGACAGATGGACCTCCCAGACCTACAAGTCAGTTTCCAGCAGCTCAGAAGATATTATCAACCCTGGGCTGTGGGGGCAACATCCACGAATAAGCTCCACCCGACACCGGGCCACACTGCCCCGCAGGAACCAGCCGTCTCTGGGCAGGGCGCAGCCATGGGGCAGATTTCCAAGGGCAGGTCAGGCAAAAGAGAAGCAAGGTGACTCCTGGTCTTCAGCCTATACAGGTGGAAGCAGCCAGGATATACAGGACATGGAGTCCAAGGGCCCAGCAATTTTTCAGATATGGAAACACCCAAGCCTGAAACCGGGGCACTGTCCAGAGAGTGATTCAAATCTATCTTGCAATTCAAACCGCTCCCTAGTGGTGCTTCCAAGGGCCAGCTCTCAGGAGGAGTCAGAAAGCAGCCGGATGAAGCCCTCAAGTGACACAAGACATGACTTACCAGACAAGGGGCACGTAGAAGACATCCTGAAAGTCCACTTGAGCAGGAAGTTGGGGCAGATTAAGCAAGGCAGGATCCCTGTAAGCATTTGTCATTCCAGGCTTGCTAATGACCAAGCCTTGGCCCCTTTTGAAAATTCAAACATGCACATAGAAACTAGAACTCTAGCATCCTCAAAGGGTCGGGAATCCTCTGAAGACACCTCGCAGGGACTTCTTGATCCAGGCCGTAAGCATGCACTGGAAGCACATGTTAGAAGGTTGCAGGTAAGGCACAAGTGGGGCCTACCCCTCAAGATCCTCAAGACAAAAAATCTCTTTATGTTGAAAAAGGCTCAACCCCCACCCCTTCCACTCTCCACCTTTTCCTCCTGGGCCACCTGTGAATCTGGGGACAACTCCACAACTGAGGTTGTCAAGTTCCTGGGAGAAGATCCTCAGGAAGGTCCAGGAGAGAAGATAACAGAAAAGTCAGTCCTCACCCAGATTGGTCCTCACCCTGCCACCTCACCTGTGGGTGAGAATGTCCAGATGGACCTGAGAGGGACCCAGTCTGGTGACAACCGTGGGCATTCAGAGGCTCTTTCCACTGGGCAGAAGGGCAGGTGGCCTTCTCAGCCTCTCACATCCAGAACCCGGCACAGTGAGATGTTCCTGGGGGCCAGGAGAGGCAGCCCAGAGCTGAGTCCAGGTTCAGCAATGGCCAGGAGTGAGCCATGGGAGGAAGAGAAGAGCGTGGCCTCAGGAGACTTCCATTGTACTGAGTCAATGCAGCAGCTCACCTTAGGGTCCCAGTCTTCAGGGGCCAAGAAGACCATCAAGCCAGTGAAGGCTAAGAAAAAGAAGCCCCCTGCTTGGGAAGCCATCTTGGGAACCAGTATGAGGGCAGACTCCCACAGGTTTAATGTCAGCCTGAGCTCAGGGTCTCTGAGCAACAGCAACAGCTCCCAATCCTTTATAGTTTATGTCCCCCAGAACCCAGAAGAGCTATGCCTTAATGCTCCAAGGGTTGGTGCGTGTCAGAACCAGCCTCAAGGCCTTGCCCCAAATGTCCTCCTCCAAGACTACACCACTGGTGTCCTCCTTGGAAACTATGACCCTGACGTTCTGGGTGTAGACATCTGGGCCTTTCCGGCCACTCTGTCCAGCTCCCACAGCAAGTCCACTGCTGACACAGGATGGCCATGTGAGAGTCAAAGCAAGCGGTCTGGCCCTACTGACAAGAGAGAGCGCTGCAGGAGGCCCAAACCAGGGGGGCAAAAACAAAGGTCTGCAAGACCAAGGACCTCCCAAACCAATGGTATAAGCCACCCCTCCCAGGATAGGGAATTAGCCGAATCACCAAGAAGCAAGTCCTCCCAGCTCCTGCCAAATGAAGGACAGGCTCCTACAGGAAGCCGCTTTAGGAACAAAACAAGGCAGTTTCTGCAGTGGATTTTCCCCAAGAAAAACACAGGGGAAGGAGAGCCCGTGCAAAACCGCGAGCCTGCATCAGCCACTGCCCAGTGCTTGGGACGGGTCACAGGCAGATCATGTACGGACGCCAGAATGGATAAAGTGCGGGGGCTCGTGACCACTGTCGGACAGATCCTAGAGGAGGAAACTGGACCCAACCATGAACTTCCTGTCTCAAAGGGAAATCGGTACAGAGAGGAACTCCAGGCCACAGTGGGTGGGAGTTGCAGCCACCACAGAGGCCCCTCCCAACCGGAGAAAAGGAGAGTGATGAGTGATACCGCCTGCAATCACCAAGCCACTCCTGTGGGCCACAGCTCTCCTGTCAAGAACAGGTGGGTCCGAGACAAGAACAGCAACCAGGCCTCCCCAGCCAGGCCCTGCCAGCATCGGCCAAGAGTGGCAAGAGCCTCCAGCTACCCTATCGGCTGCCCCAGGCACTGCTGTCTACCTAAAGGTGTCTTGCCTGGTCAACCAGATCACACTTCTCCCACCTTTCCTGGTGAGCAAACCTTTCTCTCAGAAGAAGTCCAGTTCCGGCAGAGAAAACGAGTTCTGTCCTATGGCAGCACATCCCCGATGTGCTAATGGCTCCTCCTACTGAGATGTGTGATCCTTCCAATCAGATTGTGTGTTTTCTCATCAGAGGTGGTGGCTTCTGTCTCTGGGCTGCTGGCACACAAGGAAGGGGAGGTTATTGTCCGCTCTCCCTGAGTGTGGTTTCTAGAAGGAGGGGCATGGAGGAGGCTGACGTGGTCTTGCAGACCCACCCTGACGCTGGGGTCCCTAACCTTATTTTCACAGCGCAATCACTATAGAGCCTTTAGGACTGCCAGGATGGGCAAACCCTGTGGAGACACCACCCTAGGACCTGGCTCACCCATCTTTCCCACTTTCCCTCCGCTATGAACTTCATGCGGCAGTGGGCGATGGGTTTACAGAGGCCTCTTAGTGTGGAAGTTCCCCTCGGGCCCCAGGAATGTGAAGCCAAGCAGCCTCCACCCCGAAGTGGGCTGGGAAGTTTTGGGGGTGGGGTGCTCACCCTGGGTGCAGGTGCAGACAATCTGGCCTTCCTGACTCTCATGGTGGTGACCAGACAACCCTGCCCACAGTCTCCCCTCCCTGCCCGCCTAAGGCTGGAGTAGAGATGGGCCCTGCTGGCCCCTCTGGGCTCAGCTTGGTGACAGGAGTGTCCCCCTCCCAGGCTCTGCCCTCCCCTCTGGCATGACTGTGTGCACAGGAACCATGGGAGGGTGGCACCTGGAGGACGAGGCTGGGACATGGGAGAAGAATCTGAGAGGTGGGAGCCAGGAAGGCAGCAGAGCTCATGGGACCCCTATGTGGTGGCCACTGCATGCCCAGTGCCCTCACCGGCCAAGGGGGTAGGGCTGCAACCCCAGGGTGGAGGGCAGGACCCAGGGACAAAAAGCCCTCATGCAAGAAGGTAGCTTTTCCCATGGCATATGTGACCGGCCTGCCCACAATCCCTCTGCAATTTCAGAAAGGACCAACGTATGTCAGGCAGGATCCCAGTCTGGTGACCATTACGGACATTTGGCACTGGGGCAGCTCGCAGGGCAGGGAACTTGGAAGGCAGGGCTAGCCACGGTCCACAGCGAGTCTCAGGGCCTCACCTGCCCTGAGGACTTCAGGGGACGAGGGGGGCAGAGGGATGTGGACACACGGGCTAGAAGGGGTGGGGGAGGGGCAGGCACAGATCCTGCTGCTGCTGCTGCTGCTGCTGCTCCTCCGACCCAACTACTCCCTTGCCCAGGGACCCCCAAGGCCTGCCGCCCAGGACCAGGAGGCGAGCACAGGAGCTCTCCCACAGAGTATCTGCACACGGTTCTGAGGGGCCATCACGCAGAGCCCCAGACCCACAGAAGGCTCCCAGCCTCCCACACAGACCTCCCACAGAGCCTGCGCAGAGACACCAGGCGGTGCCTCCCACAGGACCACGCAGGCCCCAGGTGATGGTACAGTGACCTCACGTGGAGCCCTCTACACCACCTTGTGTGCCCACGGATCCTCGTGTAAAGCCTGGCACCGAGGTTCCCACACGGCCCTCCCTCAGCACCTACCCCAGCACCACGCACAGCCCCCGTGCCCCACAGAGCCCACTGCAGGCCTCGCAGAAATGCCCGCTGCCTCACAGAGTCCTCCACTGCCCTCACCAGGCCTCCCGCAGCACCTCCCAGACCTCAGAGACCTCCCCCTACAGAGACCACCCAGAGAGACAACACAGCGATGTCTCACTGCTGCACAGAGACCTCATCTTGCTCCATGGAGACCCTTTATGCAGATTTCAAACAGATTTCACAGACACTTCACACAGAGAAGTCACACTCATCTCACCCAGCGCTTGCAGAAACCTCGTGCTAACACGACACTGAGCCACCTCTCACAGAGGACTTACCAAGAGACAATGCACAGAGACCTCCCACTGCCCACAGAAATCTCCACAGACCCACCCCACAGAGCCCTCATGCATTCTTCCTTAGTAGTGCATCTGAGTCCACTTAGCAAAGTGCCACACGGGAAGGACTGTGCCCCAACCTAAAAACTGAGACATTCAGACATTGTCAACATTGCCCCCAAAATGGGATTTTCTGCTTGGGGAATTGCTCAAAAATTGAGGTTCTTTTGTAATGCTATTGTCTCTGAACAGAAGAATTACAGATTTCATGTGCAGACCCACAAAATTCTTTCCCCCATAGGTTTTCATTAGCTTTAGCTCTGACTCACAATTTAGAGAATCACAATTTTTTTTTATTTCAGCATATTATGGGGGGTATAAATGTTAAGGTTACTTATATTGTCCATGCCCCCCCCCACCCACCCGACACCCAATAAATGTTATTCCTATATGTCCATTTAGGTGTTGATCCGTTAATATCAATTTGCTGGTGAGTACATGTGGTGCTTGTTTTTATATTCTTAAGATACTTAGTAGAATGGGTTCCAGCTCTATCCAGGAATAAACAAGAGGTGCTATATCACCATTGTTTCTTAAAGCTGAGTAGTATTCCATGGTATACATATACCACATTTTATTAATCCACTTATTATTGATGGACACCTGGGATGTTTCCACACCTTTGCAATTATGAACTGTGCTGCTATAAACATGAGTGCAGGTGTCCCATTTGTAGAGTGTCATTTGATCTTTTAGGTAGATGCCCAGTAGTGGAATTGCTGGATCAAATGGTAGATCTACTTGTTTTGCCTTAAGGTATCTCCATATTGTTTTCCACAGAGGCTGAACCAGTTTGCAGTCCCATGAGCAGTGTAGGAATGTTCCTCTCTCTCCACATCCACGCGAACATTTATTGTTTGGGGACTTTGTGATAAAGGCCATTCTTACTGGAGATAAGTGATATCTCATTGCAGTTTTGATTTTCATTTTCCTGATGATGAGAGATGTTGAGCATTTTTTCATGTTTGTAGGCCTTTATTCTATCTTCTTTTGAAAAATTTCTGTTCATGTCATTTGCCCACTTTTGATAGGTTGTTTGATTTTTTTTCTTGCTGATTTTCCTGAGTTCTGAAAGATTCTAGTTCATCAGCCCTTTATCGGATTGTAGCTTGCAAAAAATTTTCTCCCCATTCTGTGGGTTTCTGTTTCTCTCTTGACAGTTTCTTTGGATGTGCAGAAGCTTTTTAATTTGGATCAGGCCCCATTTATTGTATTTTTTGCTGCTGTGTGCATTGCCTTTGGGTCCTCTTCATAAATTTTTGCTTAGGTCAAGTGCTGAGAAAGTATTTCCACATTTCCTCTAGGATCTTATGAGTTTCAGCACATGTTCAAGTCTGTTATCCCAGTGTGAGTGATTTGTAAGAGGTGAAAGGTGTGAGTCTGTTTCAAGTCTTCTGCATGTGCTATCCAGTTTTCCCAAGCACATTTATTCCATAAGGATTTCTTTTCCCCAGTGGTATGTTTTTGTCTGCTTTGTCGAAGATAGTATGGCTATATCAGGATCGGTTTAGTATATCTGGTTCAGTTCTGTCACATTAGTGTCCTGTACTTGTGCCAGTAAAAAGCTGTTTTTAATTACTATACTGTTGTATGTTGAATCTGGTAAATGATACCCCTATTTTGTTTTATGCATAGAAATTGATTTGCATACAGTGTCTTCTCCTGGTTCCCATACGAATGGTAAATTCATTTTTCTAATCTTTGGGTTTGGGGGAAAAAAAAATTGGGGAAAAATGATGATGGTATTTTAATAGGGATTGCATTGACTCTGTAGGTCACTTTGGGTAGCGTACACATTTTATCAATGTTGATTCTGCCGACCCATGAGTATAGTATATTCTTCCACCTGTTTACATCCTCTGCTATTTCTTTCTTCAGTCTTTCATAGTTCTCCTTGTAGAAGTCTTTTACCTCCTTAGTTAAATATATTCCTAGGTACCTTATTTTCTTTGTTGCTATTTTGAAGGGAATTGAGTCTTTGATTTGGTTCTCTCGTACTGTTGTTGGCATATATGAATGCCTCTGATTTCTATATATTGATTTTGTATCCTGAGACTTTACCATATTCATTTATTAGATGAAGGAGTCTCTTGGTTGAATCCTTGGGGTTTTCTAAATATAATATCATGTCATCAGCAAAGAGTAAGAGTTTGATCTCTTCTGCTCCCATTTGGACACCTTTAATTCCGCTCTCTTGTCTGATTGCTGTAGCAAGGACTTCCAGCACTATTTTGAAGAGAAGTGGAGATAGTGGGCAACCTTGTCTAATTCCAATTCTAAGTAGGAATGCTTTAAATTTTTCCCTATTCAGTATGATATTGGCTGTGGGTTTGTCATATATGGCTTGTATCATTTTTAGGTAAGCCCTGTCTATGCCTATTTTGTTGAGTGTTCTTATCACAAAAAGGTGTGTTGAATTTTGTCAAATGCTTTTTCTGTGTCTGTTGAGAGGATCATATCGTCTTTTACTTTTGCTTCTGTTTGTATGGTGAATTACAGTTATAGATTTGCATATGTTGAACCATCCCTGCATCCCTGGGATGAAGCCCACTTGGTTGTGATGGATTATTTTCTTGACAAGCACCTGGATTCGATTGACTAGGATTTTGTTGAGAATTTTTGCATCTATATTCATAAGGGATATTGGTATGTAGTTTTCTTTTTTTTGTTGCATCCTTTCTGGTTTTGGTATCAGGATTATGTTTGCTTCACAAAATGTTATGGGGAGGCTTCCATCCTTCTCGATGTTGTGAAATAATTTCTGCAGGATAGGCACCAGTTCTTCTTTGTAGGTGTGGTAAAATTCGGGTGTGAAACCATCTGGTCCAGGACTTTTAGGAAAGTTTTTTATTGCTGTTTCAATTTCAGTACTTGATATTGGTCTGTTCAGGAATTCTATTTCTTCATGGTTGAGCCTAGGGAGGCTGTGTGTTTCTAAGAAATTGTCCATTTTCTCCCCATTTTCCAGTTTGTGCACATAGAGGTTTTTGTAGTATTTATAAATTATATCTTGTATCTCTGTGGCATCAGTTGTAATTTCTCCTTTATTTTCCTGATGGAGCTTATTAGAGATTTTTCTCTTCTACTTTTCGTTAGTCTAGCCAATGATGTGTCAATTTTGTTTATTTTTTCAAAGAACCAACTTTTTGTTTTATTAATCTTCCATATA